AATCAGAAGATACTTATTGAGAAGGCAACCGAACACGAACGACGTAGGGACGAATCAACAGCCGAAGAAACCGATAACATACCATGCCGATTTAATGAAATATTTGCCCATTTTAACAATCATTTCGATTACTACAGCGCATCTTCCATATGCCGTACCAGTTTATTCATCAGCTCCAGTTCAGCGAAACCAACTTCATCTTCAAATAGACCGCATCTAAGAAGTTCGTCGCGTCAGGACCGGTTCCAGCGTGGAACGGACATATTCGAGACGTAGTTATTTCCGGATTAATTTTCATTTTCCAGATGGTTTGCGCCAATAAAACTGGCGACCTCATCAGCGAAGAATCATCGAATCACAGTGATGACAAGACTTTGTTTGATCCACCGGTCGAAGCGGTAGATTTTCCAACCAGCGTCGACCGATGCCTTTGCAAGCTCGAACTCATCGTTATCGTCGCGAATACCCCACTCAAACATTGTACGACGGGGTCGGCTCGTGCTCCGGTCAATAAAGTTCAAGATAGTTTTCGTTCACCGGAGCGATGGGAGAAGATTCAACCCCGAAGAAGATAGTATACCAGCGGCGAGGAGTGAGATACCTAAAGAATTATCGACGATTATCAACCGGGTCCACGGAGTCAATCTTCATTTCCGAGATGCCGTTGAAGAACGATCAAAGAAATATTGGCAACGAAACCGAAGTCAAACGACTTTGAAATCAGTAGCATGAAGAAAGCGTTCGATCATTGAATGAAATACGGTGCCGGGTTATAGTGGAATCGACGGCGACTATCTTAGTCATCAAAGAATAATGTATCGAGCCCGGCGGAGAATATGTTCGCGTATCGCGACGACTCCGGACGGAGGCGGCTAGAAGATCGAACGACTTCAGATCACCGACAGTTCTGAAAGTGAAGAGGTTCGGTATTCGTTGATTTGAAGTCAGCGGATTTGTCAGGGTGTTATCGTCGCCGTTCAACATTGCAGTCGCACAGTCCATTTAATCATCGACAACCAAACATCGGCCTCGTAAGTGGTCCTCATTGTTCCATTTAATAAACCGTCGATCGAACGATCGAAACCGCATTAAGTTTCAAAATAAACCTCAAATTTCAGTAACGGTGTTCATAGCCGTATAAAGCAGAGATTCAGTATTAGATTACGAATAATATATCCATCACGGCAATAAACGCGACGAACGTACTATCGACCGTGAGCATAGTCATATTCGCAGAACTCGAATACTAATGGCATTGGTATCATCGCCAGCACCTCATTAGCGTTGATATTCAGAACATACGATAGATGATACGATACAACGGTTAACTGCCGCGAACCAACAGCAGTTCATGCGGGCGATTTTAAAGCAATCACCAGTGATCGTTATAGCCAGTTAACGACCTTCGACCCCTTTCACCAGACCAATCAAAGCCGTTAACCGAAGTCCCCATGGAGGCAGAAACATTAACGTACGACTTCAAAAATTATAAGCCCTTCGATGAAAGCCGAGATTGCTTCATCATTACTTAACGAGTCAATAATTATTCACGACAGTATCATGACGTTTCTAACGGCATGAAAGCGGCGGTTTCGGCAACAGAGTTCTCATGGCTTCGTCAGAATACGTTTTCCACGTCCACCTTTCAACACAGCATCATCTTTGTTAGCGGCTTCGAACATATTTTACCGCATTTGGCAACAAAGAATCATCATTGGCATCAAAAGCCAATCAATGCTACTTCCATGTTTCAGTTGCCGCCGAACGTCCGGTCACGAACAACAATGTTTCCGTTTCATTTAATATTCATAACCACTTTATGTTGATATGTTGGTGTCGGTCAAAGGAGGATGATCTTGTTCGTAAACGACATCTTTCGTCCCGTTCGAAACAGATCGAAACAAAGTCCTTGAAATCAGAAATACCATTACGGCGTCCGTATTCATCGACGGACTGGGGAACGTTCAACAGCCGAAGAAACCATAAACATGTAGCAATCACCAGTTTCATGCCGATTTATACCGAAAGTCATTTGCGAATGGAAGTTTCAGTCAACCGATAAAGTCAAAGCGCAGCCGCTCCAAAGCCTGATACAGCCAGCTTATTCGTCGTTTCCGTTCATTTCAACCACGATTCCCTGTGTTAATACCGCAGCGTTCGCCGTAACACAGACTTACGGACATGTTCCGACGAGGGAAATATTTCGATTAATTTGTTTTCCAGATATCAGAATCAACAAAACTGGCGACCCTTGAAGGTCAGCGAAAAGAACGATTCATCGAACGAATAGAAGTATCCTTGTTTTCGTCCTTCAATCAATGAAGCGGTAGATTTTCCACCAAGTTGACCGATGCTCGTCCGTTCGTTACCGGTCACATCAGCAACATTGTGGATGTGATACCAAGATATCACCGGTATTGTTCGAAGCAGACACAGTATAAACAGTGGCGAGAAGATAGAAATACTGCTAGTAAGAACCACGGAAACAGACCTCATTTGAGGATGCCGTTGATTTCCAAGAAGGAAATGTCTCAGCCTGGTACAAACGATCCTCGGCACGACCCCAGTAGTATGAGAAACCTTTATCGCTTTCGCTGAAGTTGCCGAAAGAAGTCGGCGCCGTTGTTAGAAGAACGACGGCACCGATTCAGGATTTCAAAGAACAATGCATCATTTCCGCGGAGCAACGTCGAGCGCATGCCCGGTAAGGATTACGATGATGCCGGAGGTGCCGAGAATGAAATTTCAGACACCACATGCTGTAGGTCGGGTTTAGGACAGGTCAGGCCTGTTGATTTAGTTCGCGATTTAGTTAGGCGTTACGTTACGTTCGGCCAGCCCACGAATCAACAATATGCCATAACCAAACATCGTTTCGGCCAGAATTCCGAGTTTGAACAGCCCCAACATTGAATCAAAGTTTCGAAACCCGGTGCCGTTTGCACAAAACCCCGTTTCAGTGTCGGTGTAACATATACGCATTATGATCAGCATCCCCGCGAACAGGAAGTCCATGAAAGTCAACGATTACGGCACAAATAAAGCGACATCATCGGAAGATTTGAAGACCCGTGAAAGCATAAAGTCACATATCGTAGAACTCGAACAGATAATGTCGGCGGCTCGGCAATAAACAGCTGGCGCACGCTGAAGTTCAGTCGAGCAGCGACGATGACGCAGTAGCAGAGCGATAGTAAACAAGCACCGTTAGAATAATAAAGCAACATTTGTATGCAACAGCATCATTGACCAATGTCAACCGAAGTCCCCGAAGCATTGAGTAAAGAATGATAACGTGTCAACTTCAGTAATGACAAGCCCTTCACGGGTTTAGCTTCATCATTTAAATAAAGCCAATCATCACGCGTCATTTATCGAAGATGAATGGCGAAGCGGTGTAGTTTCTACAATAGATGGGGTGCTACAATTTTTCTAGTTTAAATTTCCGAAGTCAGAATATTGCCGACGCATAGCATTGAGAGAATCACGTGCGTCATCGTCCACCCTTTCTGGTCACTGGCACGTCATTCATATTTGAACATATTTACCCGCATACAATAGTTTGGCGCCAAACGTTTCACCATGCTGCAAATAATCAATAAACAATCACAGCACATTTGGCGTTCTCGTTGTGTTGAACGCCCGCCGACAGCTCGTTCATTTTAATATTCATAACCTTTACTTTATGCCGAGGTGCCAGTGTCATCAGCGAGACGGTATCTGGGACAACGACATCCAACTTTATTCGAAACGATTGAAACAGTCTCTTGAAATTGTGCTATTTTATTTATAGCGCACAGTAGCAACTTAGTATTGAATTCCAGACCATGGGAATGTCTTCAACAGCATGAAACTACAATATTCAAACATGCCGATTTGAAGTACGAAAGAGCCATGAATGGAAGTTTCAGTCAATCATTTCGACAGCCGGGTGCAGCCGTTTCCATAGCCGCCATTGGTTCAATATCGCTCATTGCTTCACCGAAGCGAAGTTTACCGTCTCTTTATTGAATTTCAGCTATCGTACCGTTATGCCGTGGCGCTCGACACAGATCAACTTCTGGCGTGTAACTTTATCAGCGTTCATATTGAGCTTCGAGCTGGCCTGGTTTTTCAGTCAGTAGTTTTGCGCCGTCAAAAGCCAAGCGACCTCTTGGCGAAATAATGAACACAGCGAAACAGCGTAAGCATTCTCAGCTTTCGATCTCTTCCTCATCATGGCAGATTTTCCAAACCAAAGGCTGACCATGCCAGCTGTCCTGTTTCAGTTATCAAAGGTGCCGACTTCGACATCACCGATCAGCGTTAATAAAGCGTGATGGGCTTCGGTTTCGCTCGTTGAATAAAGCCAAAGAAATACCGAAGCCGATAGAGACCGTTCGAAGCAGATACAGGCACGCGGCGGCGCAATACTGGGCAACACGATGAGATATACCGGTTCAGCCAGCTGATATTAACGATTGTTAGCGCAAATGAGTTCAGTTTAACACAAACGATTCTTTGAAATGACTTCCGTAGGTATGAAATCGCTGCCGGTGTCGGCGCGTTAGTGGGAGACGACGACGGTTCGAGCCCAGATTTCAATGTTAAATGGTCGTAATATATTTCTGCGGAGAATAGCAAACAGTGGCGTCGGGCGTATGCCGGTGAGTTTGATTTCGACGTGCCGGAGGTGGTTAGAACATCGATTTCGGGGACACTACAGTCACGAAAGCGAGAGTCAGCCAGGTTTGGTGATTTGTCAGCGATTAGTTAAAAGGCTGCCATAAGTCGGACAGTCATTTAATTAACACATACAGCACCAAACAATATGTTCCCCGTGAAGCCATTCTGAGTTTAACAAGCCCTCAACAGCTTCAGTGCCGGTGCAAATTATCAAAGCGTAGCAGCAGAGATCTTCGTATGCAGGGACAGCGTAATGTCCCGGCGTGAATAAGTTCATGAAATAAAGCGATGAATATTGGTATTTACGACCGCAGGTTACATATTCTTTACAATGATTTAGTTACCCTTCTCAATAAAGTATCTTCTGATTTCAAAGAGACTGTTTCCAATCTGTTTCAGGTCAGGACGAAAGATGTCATTTGTCCCAAGATAAAGATCCTGCTCATCCTCCTTTGTGATATTTTGCTGCAACATAAAGTAAAGGTTATGAATATTAAATAAAACAGAGGGAAACAGTATTGTTGATGACCGAGACGTTCAACAGCTTCCAGTTCTTTAGGGAAACATAAATGTACTTGTGATTGTCTTTTATTTATGGATATGAGATGGTCTTTGCCTTTAACAGCTTTATAGATAAACGTTGTACCAAATATATATGCAGGTAAAATATGTTCAAATACATATAAAGATGTTGTGCAAGTGATTAAGAAGAAGTGGACGTGGAAGCTTTTACATGATATGTTGTGGATCTCAATGCCTATGCGTGTAGCTATTCCTGACCCAGAGGCAAACTCATGAAAAAAATTGTACTTGTCCTATTGCCAGAAACCACCACTTTCATATACATTCGAAAACGATCACTTGACTCTGTCGAGAAAATGAAATAAATGTGTGTTAATGTGGTAAGAAGCATCTCTAAACCCTCACATGAGGAGCTTATCATTACAGAAGTGTACATTATCATTTCTACCTCCAATACTTGGGACTTCAGTTCTTTGACAGCAGTTGGATCTGAAGTGAAGAAAGTCCAAGTCGTTAACAAACTAAAATGTCTGTTGCATACAAAATGATTACTTTGCATCACCAGTACATGAGAACTACTGTGGATATTCTAACCCAGTGCTGTTTGCTATCGCTCTCTCTCTCGCATCTATCAAATAACATCCTTTATGACCTGACATAGCAGCGTGCTTAACAAATAAAGAGTCTTGTATTTTATTACCAAGTACCGAGCACTGTCTATTCAGAGTTCTACGAATATGTAACTATACTCACAGGTCGTAAATCGCCAATGTTGTCCGCTTGTTTGTGCCATGAGCGTGTTGGTTTCATGGACTATATTCACACAGGACGACATGTCCACCATACTGAGATCCTCTGCTGCTACAGCTGATGGGTACACCGACCTGAAACAGGGTTTGTACAAAAACTTAAGCACAGGTTTCAAGCAATCGTTCAAATGTTGAGGCCTATTAAAGTAGAAGCTCTTCCTGAGGACACACTTACGAAATTGATAATTTGGGTTATAACATGTGTTTATTCGTGACTGGATACGACTACCAATGTTGACAATGGCAATAACACCTAACTAAATCCACTGACTAAATCAACAAACCTGAGCCTGTCCCTCTCCTTTCGTGACCTACATACAAGCATAGTGTCCCCAAGTCTGTTCAGTCTCCTAGCCACCTCCAGCATCAGAGTCGTGGCTCCACTACAGGACATCCACTTGACCTCGACGTCCTTACTGTTTATGTTCTCCACCAGAATGATACATTGTTCTTTGGTGAGAAATCTAAGATAGTCGCCATCGGTGTCTCCACTTTCTTCTTTTAGCACCGACTTCGTTTCAGCAACACCAGCCCAGAAAGCAGTCAGGACTTTCTCATACCTACTGGGAGTCATTACCAAAGAATCGTTTGTGACAAACTGAGAAGACTCATTTGCCAGCTTCTTTAATCGATTCTTAAATCCAACAGCATCCTCAAGGAGAGAAATGGGAATGACTCCATGGATTGAGTTGATATCCTCATCAGTGAACCTGCTTAGTGTCTCTATCACTCCTCTCGCCACTGACATACTGTATGTCACTGCTTCAGGACAGTCTTCATCCCCATCAACCAGTGACAAAACTATCACAGACTGTGTAGGCAGAGCCAGGAATACATCACATACAATGTTGCTTGGTCGGGGTGATGTGCAGAAATCTAACGCAACTGATAACGAATGGGACAAGAACACAAAACATGGTCCAGCCTTTGGATTTGGAAAATCTACCACTTCATTGGTGAGAGGATCAAAAACAAAGTCGTATGCATGATTTTCTATGTGTTCGATGAGTCGTTCTTTCACTTGTGCTAAAGGGGTCCTTAGTTTTGTTGGCGCAAAATTCTGGCCATCTGGAAAATAAAATTAATCAAATAATACATCTCGATGGAGGTATGTCCGTTACACATAGGATAGTCCTGTGTCAATTTTGTGACACTGCTTCGACACGAGTATAACACAAAGGAATCGTAAAGGGACAGAAATGCTTCACTTGGGCAAACCTGACATGGAAGCTGATGTAATTGGGTCGCTGAAAGGCAATATGGAAGGCTTTTAAGGGCAATACGCCTTAGCTAATCAGAATAGTTGACTAAAACCCATTCGCAAATGGCTTCAGTATAAATCAACATGAGCAAGACATTGCTACATGCTTTATGGTTTGCTTCAACTGTTGAAGGCATTCCCATAGTCTACGTCAATGATCTACTAAGTTTTACAATGATTTAGTTACCCTTCTCAATAAAGTATCTTCTGATTTCAAAGAGACTGTTTCCAATCTGTTTCAGGTCAGGACGAAAGATGTCATTTGTCCCAAGATAAAGATCCTGCTCATCCTCCTTTGTGATATTTTGCTGCAACATAAAGTAAAGGTTATGAATATTAAATAAAACAGAGGGAAACAGTATTGTTGATGACCGAGACGTTCAACAGCTTCCAGTTCTTTAGGGAAACATAAATGTACTTGTGATTGTCTTTTATTTATGGATATGAGATGGTCTTTGCCTTTAGCAGCTTTATAGATAAACGTTGTACCAAATATATATGCAGGTAAAATATGTTCAAATACATATAAAGATGTTGTGCAAGTGATTAAGAAGAAGTGGACGTGGAAGCTTTTACATGATATGTTGTGGATCTCAATGCCTATGCGTGTAGCTATTCCTGACCCAGAGGCAAACTCATGAAAAAAATTGTACTTGTCCTATTGCCAGAAACCACCACTTTCATATACATTCGAAAACGATCACTTGATACTGTCGAGAAAATGAAATAAATGTGTGTAAACTGTTCATGTGGTAAGAAGCATCTCTAAACCCTCACATGAGGAGCTTATCATTACAGAAGTGTACATTATCATTTCTACCTCCAATACTTGGGACTTCAGTTCTTTGACAGCAGTTGGATCTGAAGTGAAGAAAGTCCAAGTCGTTAACAAACTAAAATGTCTGTTGCATACAAAATGATTACTTTGCATCACCAGTACATGAGAACTACTGTGGATATTCTAACCCAGTGCTGTTTGCTATCGCTCTCTCTCTCGCATCTATCAAATAACATCCTTTATGACCTGACATAGCAGCGTGCTTAACAAATAAAGAGTCTTGTATTTTATTACCAAGTACCGAGCATTGTCTATTCAGAGTTCTACGAATATGTAACTATACTCACAGGTCGTAAATCGCCAATGTTGTCCGCTTGTTTGTGCCATGAGCGTGTTGGTTTCATGGACTATATTCACGCAGGACGACATGTCCACCATACTGAGATCCTCTGCTGCTACAGCTGATGGGTACACCGACCTGAAACAGGGTTTGTACAAAACTTAAGCACAGGTTTCAAGCAATCGTTCAAATGTTGAGGCCTATTAAAATAGAGGCTCTTCCTGAGGACACACTTACGAAATTGATATTTTGGGTTATAACATGTGTTAATTCGTGACTGGATACGACTACCAATGTTGACAATGGCAATAACACCTAACTAAATCCACTGACTAAATCAACAAACCTGAGCCTGTCCCTCTCCTTTCGTGACCTACATACAAGCATAGTGTCCCCAAGTCTGTTCAGTCTCCTAGCCACCTCCAGCATCAGAGTCGTGGCTCCACTACCGGGCATGCACTTGACCTCGACGTCCTTACTGTTTATATTCTCCACCAGAATGATACATTGTTCTTTGGTGAGAAATCTAAGATAGTCGCCATCGGTGTCTCCACTTTCTTCTCTTAGCACCGACTTCGTTTCAGCAACACCAGCCCAGAAAGCAGTCAGGACTTTCTCATACCTACTGGGAGTCATTACCAAAGAATCGTTTGTGACAAACTGAGAAGACTCATTTGCCAGCTTCTTTAATCGATTCTTAAATCCAACAGCATCCTCAAGGAGAGAAATGGGAATGACTCCATGGATTGAGTTGATATCCTCATCAGTGAACCTGCTTAGTGTCTCTATCACTCCTCTCGCCACTGACATACTGTATGTCACTGCTTCAGGACAGTCTTCATCCCCATCAACCAGTGACAAAACTATCACAGACTGTGTAGGCAGAGCCAGGAATACATCACATACAATGTTGCTTGGTCGGGGTGATGTGCAGAAATCTAACGCAACTGATAACGAATGGGACAAGAACACAAAACATGGTCCAGCCTTTGGATTTGGAAAATCTACCACTTCATTGGTGAGAGGATCAAAAACAAAGTCGTATGCATGATTTTCTATGTGTTCGATGAGTCGTTCTTTCACTTGTGCTAAAGGGGTCCTTAGTTTTGTTGGCGCAAAATTCTGGCCATCTGGAAAATAAAATTAATCAAATAATACATCTCGATGGAGGTATGTCCGTTACACATAGGATAGTCCTGTGTCAATTTTGTGACACTGCTTAGACACGAGTATAACACAAAGGAATCGTAAAGGGACAGAAATGCTTCACTTGGGCAAACCTGACATGGAAGCTGATGTAATTGGGTCGCTGAAAGGCAATATGGAAGGCTTTTAAGGGCAATACGCTTTAGCTTATCAGAATAGTTGACTAAAACCCATTCGCAAATGGCTTCAGTATAAATCAACATGAGCAAGACATTGCTACATGATTTATGGTTTGCTTCAACTGTTGAAGGCATTCCCATAGTCTACGTCAATGATCTACTAAGTTTTACAATGATTTAGTTACCCTTCTCAATAAAGTATCTTCTGATTTCAAAGAGACTGTTTCCAATCTGTTTCAGGTCAGGACGAAAGATGTCATTTGTCCCAAGATAAAGATCCTGCTCATCCTCCTTTGTGATATTTTGCTGCAACATAAAGTAAAGGTTATGAATATTAAATAAAACAGAGGGAAACAGTATTGTTGATGACCGAGACGTTCAACAGCTTCCAGTTCTTTAGGGAAACATAAATGTACTTGTGATTGTCTTTTATTTATGGATATGAGATGGTCTTTGCCTTTAGCAGCTTTATAGATAAACGTTGTACCAAATATATATGCAGGTAAAATATGTTCAAATACATATAAAGATGTTGTGCAAGTGATTAAGAAGAAGTGGACGTGGAAGCTTTTACATGATATGTTGTGGATCTCAATGCCTATGCGTGTAGCTATTCCTGACCCAGAGGCAAACTCATGAAAAAAATTGTACTTGTCCTATTGCCAGAAACCACCACTTTCATATACATTCGAAAACGATCACTTGATACTGTCGAGAAAATGAAATAAATGTGTGTAAACTGTTCATGTGGTAAGAAGCATCTCTAAACCCTCACATGAGGAGCTTATCATTACAGAAGTGTACATTATCATTTCTACCTCCAATACTTGGGACTTCAGTTCTTTGACAGCAGTTGGATCTGAAGTGAAGAAAGTCCAAGTCGTTAACAAACTAAAATGTCTGTTGCATACAAAATGATTACTTTGCATCACCAGTACATGAGAACTACTGTGGATATTCTAACCCAGTGCTGTTTGCTATCGCTCTCTCTCTCGCATCTATCAAATAACATCCTTTATGACCTGACATAGCAGCGTGCTTAACAAATAAAGAGTCTTGTATTTTATTACCAAGTACCGAGCATTGTCTATTCAGAGTTCTACGAATATGTAACTATACTCACAGGTCGTAAATCGCCAATGTTGTCCGCTTGTTTGTGCCATGAGCGTGTTGGTTTCATGGACTATATTCACGCAGGACGACATGTCCACCATACTGAGATCCTCTGCTGCTACAGCTGATGGGTACACCGACCTGAAACAGGGTTTGTACAAAACTTAAGCACAGGTTTCAAGCAATCGTTCAAATGTTGAGGCCTATTAAAATAGAGGCTCTTCCTGAGGACACACTTACGAAATTGATATTTTGGGTTATAACATGTGTTAATTCGTGACTGGATACGACTACCAATGTTGACAATGGCAATAACACCTAACTAAATCCACTGACTAAATCAACAAACCTGAGCCTGTCCCTCTCCTTTCGTGACCTACATACAAGCATAGTGTCCCCAAGTCTGTTCAGTCTCCTAGCCACCTCCAGCATCAGAGTCGTGGCTCCACTACCGGGCATGCACTTGACCTCGACGTCCTTACTGTTTATATTCTCCACCAGAATGATACATTGTTCTTTGGTGAGAAATCTAAGATAGTCGCCATCGGTGTCTCCACTTTCTTCTCTTAGCACCGACTTCGTTTCAGCAACACCAGCCCAGAAAGCAGTCAGGACTTTCTCATACCTACTGGGAGTCATTACCAAAGAATCGTTTGTGACAAACTGAGAAGACTCATTTGCCAGCTTCTTTAATCGATTCTTAAATCCAACAGCATCCTCAAGGAGAGAAATGGGAATGACTCCATGGATTGAGTTGATATCCTCATCAGTGAACCTGCTTAGTGTCTCTATCACTCCTCTCGCCACTGACATACTGTATGTCACTGCTTCAGGACAGTCTTCATCCCCATCAACCAGTGACAAAACTATCACAGACTGTGTAGGCAGAGCCAGGAATACATCACATACAATGTTGCTTGGTCGGGGTGATGTGCAGAAATCTAACGCAACTGATAACGAATGGGACAAGAACACAAAACATGGTCCAGCCTTTGGATTTGGAAAATCTACCACTTCATTGGTGAGAGGATCAAAAAACAAAGTCGTATGCATGATTTTCTATGTGTTCGATGAGTCGTTCTTTCACTTGTGCTAAAGGGGTCCTTAGTTTTATTGGCGCAAAATTCTGGCCATCTGGAAAATAAAATTAATCAAATAATACATCTCGATGGAGGTATGTCCGTTACACATAGGATAGTCCTGTGTCTATTTTGTGACACTGCTTAGACACGAGTATAACACAAAGGAATCGTAAAGGGACAGAAATGCTTCACTTGGGCAAACCTGACATGGAAGCTGATGTAATTGGGTCGCTGAAAGGCAATATGGAAGGCTTTTAGGGGCAATACGCCTTAGCTAATCAGAATAGTTGACTAAAACCCATTCGCAAATGGCTTCAGTATAAATCAACATGAGCAAGACATTGCTACATGATTTATGGTTTGCTTCAACTGTTGAAGGCATTCCCATAGTCTACGTCAATGATCTACTAAGTTTTACAATGATTTAGTTACCCTTCTCAATAAAGTATCTTCTGATTTCAAAGAGACTGTTTCCAATCTGTTTCAGGTCAGGACGAAAGATGTCATTTGTCCCAAGATAAAGATCCTGCTCATCCTCCTTTGTGATATTTTGCTGCAACATAAAGTAAAGGTTATGAATATTTAATAAAACAGAGGGAAACAGTATTGTTGATGACCGAGACGTTCAACAGCTTTCATCGCTTTAGGGAAACATTAATGGCCTTGTTATTGTCTTTTATTTATGGATATGAGATGGTCTTTGCTTTTACCAGCTTGCAGATAAACGTTGTACCAAATATATATGTACCTACCAGAAGCTTCCACATCCTGCCTGCAATATTCAAAAGTCGAGACATGAAGAATATTGTAAAAAAGACATTTCCATCGATCAGTACCACACTACGTTCTCAATAAAGATTACTCGAATGCAACATGATATAAGATTAGATTGTTTAGTGAGGCATTTTGATAAAGACGGATTCGAACAGCTTATGTCAGAGAATTCTTAATGATTACGACAAGGGTTTCATATAATTACTTTCATGTAGAGATTACTTTGACATAGATGATCAAGGACAATACCTGGTGTATAATTGGCAGTTCATCTATCTATCTATATATCTATATATATACATACACAAACATATATATATAGACACACACCCATATATATATATATATATATATATATATATATATAAAGAAAGTGATGAGAATACCGAGCGTACAGTAGTACATAATAAATATATAAGAAGAAGTTTCTGAAATAATCACACAACACGGATCTTCTATAAACATGTTTCACTTTTATCTTCAGGGAGCAGTGATTACGGCTAAACGGATTGTTATGACGTCACTTTGTCATGACGTCACAATGCAACTGTATACAAATGTTGCCAATGTGACTTCATGATTGATTAACCTTTTATAAAAAACTTTTAATCAAGACAAAATATAAATGTAAGTAACATTTGGCACTAATGAAACAGGGAAAAGAACAATTCAAAAAACGGAAATATCCGAAAATTTCCGAGTGTTACGAAGTTTTCCGAATGCATGTCAAAATACCGGTTTTCGATCAGCATATCGCAATACGTATCGTTTTCATGTCTGAACCGGTAAACCAGTTATATTGCGCAGCCCTAGTGTGTGTATATATATATATATATATATATATATATATCTGTGTCTCTCTCTTAGTGTGTGTGTGTATGTGTGTGAATATGTATCATATTAAGAAAAACCTTAAAGGAAACAAATTAGAATTAAATCAAAAACAAATCTACGTTTCTCTGCTCAACCTTCGATACTTTCATTTTCGTCATAACTCTTACGGGTGTACGTTAAAATACAATACCAAGTCATACTCTGTACAATTTTGGTTAACAATACCGTGATTACATTAGAAATTCACAAGCGCTAGTGCGAATTGGTGTCTCAGGGGCATATCTGAAATGTGTGATTGTCGCCCTGATTATACACGTGCATGCAGGATCTACCGGATAACATTAAACAAAACATCCTTGTCCCCCATGGACACGAAACGATGGATTGCTGGTGATGGTGTCACGACTAATGGCTATGGACACCGTTGTATTATCCCTTAAGTAACCAGAGACATCCAATGATGTCCCTGAACCACACCACTCTCCTTTTTAAACCACCGCTGGAAGCTGAATTAGCCAGAAATAACGCTTTTGGTAAAAGTGGTCCCTCACCCCCATTTCCGATGTTGCTGTCTGTGACGAGGAACCTTTGAGAAAGTATTAAAATAGTGTTTCTGTGAAAATTGCACATAAGAGAAAATTGTGGTCAAAACCAACTAACATGACAGCAAACTGAAAACTATGACCTCCCAGGCGCTTTGTTTTTACATCAATGGAAGGGACACCCTTTCTCAGTCGTGATTTCCAATGGTTTTACTTCCACGAAATAATATAGAACCGACACGATATTGTTATTCATAATACGGTATTAATGTATTATATCTTCTTCGCCGTAAAGAGGAACTGTTTTAAAACGCGAGATAAACGTTGCCATACGTATTATGTATACTCCAGAGAGTCCAGGTAACACGAGGCATGTTTTGACTGAACAATTTAGTCAGGCGTCGGTTACCTCCCATTAATAACTCGGTCACTTCCACGCGAGATGGCTTCAAGCAGTTTCAAATAAAGTAAATATGTTTCCACACTATAACAAACAGGTGTGCGTTCGTGTGCTTCGAAAGCTACATGTATATTTCGCTTCTAGGATGAATAAGCTTTCAGAAAGTAATGAATTTACTTTTCTGAAAAATATGCACGCGTTTCCGTGTGACATGCAGAAATTCTTGTCTGTAGTCAGGCAGTCACGCGCATGAGTGACCCCCCTCTCATAACAGAAGACCGTCTCGCGTACACGGTATGTTGGTAGGTTGGTTGTTTAAAGCACCGCACTGAGCATTATTCCAGCTCCATGGTGACGGTCTGTAACTAATCAAGTCTGGACCAGACAATCCATTGATCAACGTCAAGAGCATCGATCTACGCAATTGGGATACAATGACATGTGTCAACCAAGTCAGCGAGTCCTACCACCCGATCTCGTTAGTCGCCTCTTATGACAACCATGGGTTGCTGAAAACCAGTTCTAATCCGGGTCTTTACGAGTCCCACACGTTGCGTCCTCTACAGTTAACTATGAGGACTACACTTCGTTCGACTTCTTTATAAAGGTTGATACATTCACCTTCAACGAATACCTTTAATTTTGTTTGAAGAAACTGTACAGATATTCATTGACGTTGTTTCGTCTGTCGTATGTTAGCCCCATAACTACATGTGTATTACAGTTTATAGATCTGATACCCGAATGATTCGTATAATATAAATGGACATTTTTTAGACAGGGGACCAAACATTTGCGACCCTATTACCTAAAATAACATTTGTCAGTAAACGTGAAGGGGGGCAATTTACAACATATACTCTCATATACTCATATACAAAAAAAGAAACGCACAGGTGATAATGAAATTTAAAATTAACTTTATTTTATTTCTATGCAAACAAAACCCGGTTACTTTAACCAAACATAATGTATACTTGTTCATATCCATTAAGTATCGCTCAAACACACCATTTCATGAAATATTGTTGTTTGATGATGGTTTTTGAAAATATCATGAAATTTTCACGTGTAAATGACACTTCAAACGATATGCACGTGAAAGTTGCTTCACCTATGCACCAGTGTGTAGGGTATATGAGGAAGGCAGTTTAACGTGTTCAATTCACTTTCAACGCCAGTTTACTGACGAATTCAACATGCCACGACTTAGCGAAGCTGACCGGAACATCGCCATCGGACGTCTTGAAGCTGGCGAATCTCAGTCATCAGTTGCAAGACACTTCAACGTGCATCACACAACAATTTCCGTTTATGGAGGCGCTACAATCAACTGGGCTCGACCCGCGACCGACCTCGGAGTGGTAGACCACGGGTAACCAATGCTGCACAGGACCGCTACATCCGGGTGTTCCATTTACGTAACCGGGCCGTCCCAACAACACAAACAGCAGAGAACGTCCCAGGTCTTCGCCGCGTCTCCGCCCAGACCATCAGAAATCGCCTCAGACAGCACGGGATACGCCCTCGACGACCTCACGTAGGATGCACACTACGACCTCATCATCGCCTGGCACGTGTTCGATGGTGCAGGAACGTCCAGAGATGGAATTGGAGACATTGGCAGCGAATTTGGTTCAGCGACGAATCTCGTTTCCAACTTCAAAGACACGATGGTAGGACGAGGGTCTATAGACGGAGAAACGAACGTTACGCCCGTAATTGTGTAGTTGAAGCGGACAGATTTGGAGGAAAAGTGTGATGGTATGGGGGCCATTTCTTACAACGGAGAAGTGACTTGGTGCACGTCCGTGGTAACCTGACTGCAATTCGTTACAGGGATGAAATTCTGCAACGTCATCTTTTACCTGTCATCAACCCTCAACGTCACGTTTTCCAACAGGACAACGCCAGACCGCACGTGGCTCGCATCACGATGGACTACCTGACGAATCAGAACATCACAGTTCTTCCCTGGCCTTCAAAATCCCCGATTTGAACCCAATAGAGCATTTGTGGGACCAGCTTGGGAAACGCGTTCGACGTCGTCAGCCTCAACCCCAAACGTTGCAACAACTGTCTCAAGCCTTGCAGGTGGAATGGAGGAGGATCCCCCAAGCACGGATTCAAAGACTGATCATGTCCATGGACAGGAGGTGCCAAGCTGTGTTGCAAGCTCGAGGTGGTCACAACAGGTACTGACCTCCACGCCATCTGTACGCCCGGTGCAATGGTTTCAGAGACAAATGATAGCTGCATGTTGTAAAGCTGACTCTTGACAACATCCATGTGAAATTTTACGTTCGTGCGATCATTAGTTAAAGTTTTATTTGGAAACAAAATAAAGTGTTTACATTCCTGAGTTTTCACCTGTGCGTTTCTTTTTTTGCAGAGTATATCATTGAATTCCTTCGCTTGTTTTGTAATTAAAACATATCATACTTGAATAATTTATAATGTTATATTTTAAAACCTGTCTGCGAAGGATAGTAAAACAACTAGAACATCACAGTCAGATATTTAAAACTAACATGTAAGTTGAAATTATACACTATTTAGGACGTTAGATTATAAAAACGGGCTATAGATCACAAGCAACTGAAGGTAGATCACCATACTAGAGACCATAGGGGCTTACATTACTTTTGCTACCTGCATGGACCCCAGCTGGATTTACATCATCCCTTCATGTGGTGAGATTAAACCATTATTTAAAACAACAAATATAAAAATAACAACAAGTACGATTAACAATTTGTCGACCTTATTTAACTTTTTGGACTTTGTTTTAAGTAAAAAAAGAACGCATTGTAATTTAAGTCACTATCAAACAGTACTTCAAACTTTGAAATGAAACTTACCCAAAAAAATTGGAAACTTTGAAAATGAAGATGGACCATTCTGAGGTTCTTTTCACAAACTGTGACGTCCTTTACACACAAGTTATTCACATGTTAGGTACACATGTAGTGTGTGTCAAATCAAAATTACCTTTGAAATATTACAATTTGTGAAGGCTTCATTTCATCAAGTTTTAATTATCTTTCTAGACATGAAGCAAACATATATACCAAACTTGAATCTCACCTGAACCAAGATTCTAGCACGACATTGTGTGATACTCGATTCTGATTGGCTGAGAGCTCATCAAAACCGTACTTAAAAGGCAGTTTAAGACCGCTAATTAAAGTGACCGATTCACGCGTATGAACACAACTAACTCGTTGACCCTATTGCTTGTAAACAAACATGTCGGACATCGGCAATTTCTATCTCGGCAGCATCTTTGGTGTTTTTTGAAGTAAAAGCAATTAGTTTGAAGAAGAATTCCTTGACCCTAATCCAATTGAAGCAACAACGAAGCTGGAAAATCCGTCAGCAGCGCAAAAGCGTCAGTATATTCAAACCGGGTACAGATCTACGTGTGTTGACGTCGACGCCCACACGTCCTAACCTGACCGCTTCCGTCCCGGCCGTAATGCCCAGTCCTTCCACTTCCATTGTCCATGTATCCCATATAAAACGCGGCATGTCAGGTTTTTCTAAATTGGGAATAGAAGGGTGGTAATCAACAATTATTTCCGTGAATAAAGTTAGCGGCGACTAAACTTAGCGAGTTCACGTCTTGAATTTGGGCGAGTCGATTGTCATACAGTAGGGGAGATCAATAATTCGCTTGAGAAAAATCAAATAATTGTACTTGGTCACAGTACAATCTGTATTTTTTTATTATTTATGTATGCCACTTGTTACAAATACAAGCATACTGGTACCTGAAATAAAGCATTTATGTTGTTGAAAAAGTCTTATTTTGTTCATTACACAACCTGTCCCTCAACGGGACGATTTCCAAGCGATTTCCAGGAAAAAGGCCCCTTCGCGCCTTGTGTTCTTGCGCGCCAAACAGTTCGGTTTTAAACCGCTTACCAGTCGTGCTAGAATGAAGATAAAGCTACTCTGTTTTCAATTTTGCGGTCCTTTATCGTTGATTTAAGACCGCTAAATGTTTCCTTTAAAACCGATAACGCGTTCGGTTTTTAATTTCATTTAGCGGTCTTAAATCAACGATAAAGGACCGCAAAATTGAAAACAGAGTAACTTTATATTCTAAGTATACCATATTACTAGTTATACAGATTTGAGTAGGTAAGATGAACTTTAGGCGACATCAGTAACTTACCGTCGTATGTTACATCAGTTCACTGCTGAGATATTTTCCGTTTTGTGAGAGCACGTACCCAGTCCTTGAGATCTATCCGTGTGATCCGTTTGAATTGTCTGTCATATCTATATGCAAGCGGTCCTTGTTTGTCATGGAACACTATCCCACTCACTGGTCTGACAGCCACATGAACAACTACACCATCTTCATCACCATGTCCATCATGTACAGGTTCTCCACTGTCTCGCCGATAAACTATTTCCTCCGCTGGTGTGCGTTCCTCCGCTGGTCTGCAAGGAATAAAATGAATTTGGAAAATATTTGGATCTGGGAATATGTCATTTCCATCATAGTCACAGACGAGGACAATATTCCGAATGTTATCCCCTAAAGTGTCCCCGAAAACGGTTCTGTCCTTCAGGATGACTGGTTGGATGCGGTTTACTTTAGTCTCATAACCATATCCCTTCTTGAAAGTAGTTTTCTCATGGACGCCATAAAGAAAGGAACCACCACATTCAGTTTTAGTAAATGCGCTGATATATTCTGCAAGTTTATGATTCTTGATGATGTCCTCTGCTATTGCTCGAGCATCTTTCTTTTGAGAAAAGTGACTTTTCAATTGAATTGATCTGTTTTCGTGCACATTCAGAAGGTGATGTGCCTGGGTCACACCAGGAAGTGAATGGAATGTGTTGCACAAGGATTTTCTTTCCCTAACAAATGTTCTGAGCGTTTCGGCACGAATATCTTCGATGCAGTCATCGAGTGTTGTCTTCGTATTGAATTTAGAAGTCGTTACGTTTGAAGAAGGTCCAACATACAGCACGAGAAAGTCGCCAAAGCCGTGACAAGTATAGTGACTGTTCAGTGGCTGTTTCTTGTAAACATCACAAAACTGTTTGTCATCTTGAATCAAATCGTGAAGTTTGGGGTCAGCAAACTCATCAAATGCGCCAGTGAAAGAATCTTCCGGTGCCAGGCCAACAAGATGAATCAGTATATATCCAGAGTTGGAATTCCGCAGAGCCGATACTTTTCTCCGTAACTCAATAGCTTTACGATCTCTCTTCTCCTTTTTTCTCTTTTTCTGCTCTGGGTTTGCTCTCCCTTCTCCAAATAAGTACTTGACATGAATCCCGATAGACAGGACATTGCTTTTTGGTGAAGCTCCTTCCAGGAACTGACGAGCTGCCTCCTCACTCCGTGGAATGCATTGACTGAAATGATAAAAATGTCAGAATAAATGCACGGAATAAAACGCAAGAAATCAAGAATCAAACTGTGCTTATTCATTGGTTAAAATGCAATACTTACTTCAGGCACTCTGTGTGAAATTCTGCTTTTACTTGGCGGCACTTTGCATGTGCGATATCCTCATTTTTCACATAAACTGACGCGGGCTCAGAACCTGTTGGTTTAAGCTCTGCTTGCCTTGTGTATAATATGTCTTCGGTTTTCACACACACAGTCACTTGTTCAAAACCTATTGGGGTAAGATGACTTTCTTTCTCATGCTTTATTTCTTCGTTCTTTGCATAGGTTGAAACCCGATCAAATTCTGTAGGGTGGCTGTCACCTTGTCTTGCGTATTTTACTTCCCCATTCCTGGTGTACACTGTAACTTCTTCAAAGCCTTCTGGTATTAAGTTCTGGTTCCTTGCATATACTATGTCTCGATCCCTGACAGAAACAGTTACGCATTCAAAACCTTTCGGCAATATGCTTCCTTCTTTCAGATATGCGATTTTGTCCCCTTTGACACATACCGAGGCACATTCAAAACCAACTGGAATACAATCCTGCTTTGTCACATAACGCACGTCCACATCCTTGTTGTACACATTTACACCTGGTGAATCTGGCTGTATTTCATCTCCACAATAGTCACATAGTATCATGGCATCTGGAAACCTGGTGATAAAGTTTCACATATGAACACAGAAGTTTGACTGTTAATACAAGTTCCTACAGAGGCACAAGCACAGATAGCATGAAACGGAGACGTCTGTCCAACTGCGCCGTACATAATGTGGTATTGACTTATACACATGCGTGGCAACCACGTCAGCACATCACGTGATACACAGCCAATGAGCGTATACTTATCCTGCACAGCCACATTGTATGCAATGCTTTAAGAATTTGACCCGGTTTTGCAATGAAAGAGAAAAACAACCAGTAAAGAAAAAGAGTTAAACTTGCTAACTGGCTATTGCATACAATATGTTTTAGGTAATCTGCATCAACAGTGTTTGACTGCTTGTTTGATTGTTTGATCGTACAATACATTACATCTAACTATGCATTAAGCTTTACATTACCGCTGCGCGAGCGATATGTTCACATGATTCATATCATTATGCAGGATTAGTATCGTTACTTGTATTATTCAGGGATGTTGCCGACCCAAGAAAATAGGTTGTATTTGCGGGAGCGTATCGTACCCTACTGGTGGTACCGATCACAAACACACGAAAAGGCAAGTCAATAAAAATATCAACATGGGGATGTTTGTCAGTGATGCATTAAATGTGGAAATGTCCCTCACCCATTATTAACCACTCCATTATTCACCACTCTACCAATTCATCGTTATTATTACTATTACGTTGGTTGGTTCCTAGTTTAACCCCGCCCACAGCAATATTCGGCGTCTATATGGCGGCGGATTGTAAATAATCGGGTCTGGACCAGACAATCCAGTGATCAACATCATGAGCATCAATCTATGCAATAGGGATACGATAACATGTGTCAACCAAGTGAGTGAGCCTGATCACCCGATCCTTGGCTATTAACCAATCAAAAGTCTCCTAATTTATCTAAAGGGAAATAAAAACATATATTGCTAACAAAAAAAGAGATTTCAATGTCGCTGTTCTGGTTGGACAGATTTACAATACCAGGGCCTTGTTCTTAGACCGAAATCTAATCACAGTGAAAGTCCACCTCACTGACGAACAGTAGATATCTACGACGAGAAGGCATATGGATATTGCACGGGCCCTTAAGCACCTCGACATGCCCCCAATCGAGCATCTGTCTGATGTGTAAATTTGTATCGTAGCCCAACATAGGATGGCTCTTTGTAGTGGAGTAGATAAGTGCAAAAATAGTTCACTTAATCATGCAAGCATGAAATTTGGCACAAATGTTCATTGGAGTCCATTCTTTCAAAAAAAAAAGGGCATTAGCCAGGCGAAAAACAAAGATAGCCGCCGTCTACACTAAAAATTACTAATAATTACTTTGTAAGTTGTAACTACTTCAAGTAAAACTACTTATTTTAATTTTTATGACAAAATGAAGTTGTTTTTATAACAATACCAAAACAATGCATAAATCAAATGGCAGTTTTAGCAAAGAAACAGTCGAAATTGTACCTGAACTAACAACTGCACCCAGAATAACAGAGAAACTACACTTCACATTTGCAACTGCACAAGGTTGTGTATGTGAGGCCAAACCGGTAGCATTTGCACCTGCCACGACAGCCAGACGTGCAGTCACACTTAGTGAGCTTTGCAATGGGAGAGTTGGCTGTCCAGAAGGTTTTCCATACTTCGCCCATCCCCAGTCAGCTGGACTCTCTGCTTCCGGCTGGCTCAGAATTGCCTGAGCCTACACACAACCAGCCTGATATGCTGCACGTTAAGCGTGTTGCATTAGAGCTGCTCTGGTTGGAGGGATGGCTTCATATGGTCTCTGCTTTCTGGCAAATAAGTCGAGTCTAGCCTCATCCACACCATCTACAGTGCTAGACCCGTCATACATGATGACCACAAACTTCTTTAGGATCTCCATGTCATCACCCTCAATGGTTGTGGATGCTGGCCCAGTCTGGCAAATACTGGTGTTGCCTCTGGGAAAATTCCCCATGTTTGCCAAGCTGTCTTTTCCCCTTTATTCCTTAAAGCTGGCACCACATCACAACCCGTAAAAGCATGGAAGAACAATAT